CTGGATTTATCAACTTTCTGCTTCTAGGTAATAGCCAATCTAGAATGGAAAAGGGAAAAAAAGGACTAGGTAGCAGATGGTCCCCTGAATGTTATAAAACTGTTTCTACAAGCAATTTCCCAATCTTAGCACTCTTGATATTTGGGCCAAATAATTTTGATGTGGGGGCTTATCCTGTGCGTTAGAAGATATTTTAGCAGCATCTCTGGCCTCTTCCCACTGGATGCCAGAAGTTCTCTCCATCTCTGTCAGCTTAAGCAAAAATGTCTCCAAACATTTGCCGAATACCCCCTTGAGAGCATAATTGCCCCTCTGGTTTAGAATCACTGGTTTAAAGCATAGTAGCAAGTTTTTAAATTTTGTATGCTACTTTACCTGTTTTGTTGCTGAACTGGAAATAAATTTATCAATTCTTAGGTAATAAATTTTAAAAACATAGAGATCCTCAGCCTCACCCTATTTGTGATTATATTCATGGTACTCTGGTTTATAAGCATTTTTCTAAAATTTTATTTGGGCCATTAAAACAACATAAAATGATTTTCTTAGAAGCTTTGCTGAAAGTTCAATTAGCCATTGTCCTTATACATTCCCTCTGTCCATAACTTGACCTACTCAAAATTTTTAAACATCAGCTTTGTCTAGCATATTTTTTTTTTTTAAACTATGTTGGTTATGTGAAAATTGCCCATCTTTTTTACGGTCTCTGCTCAATGAGTTTATACAATGAGTCTCTGGTAGGAGACAGACGTGGGAGTGAAAATATTTCTCCTTTAACCACAGGAAGGGATTTTTTTACAATGCCTTTTAGCAGCGGATGCCTAGGGTACCTCACCCAGCAGGAAACAGAGAGAACTCTCTTTCTGCAATTGGAAAGTAGAACTTTATTCTAGCTAAACCCTTTCATAAGCTTCCTCTCCTGGAAGAGACAATCCAAGTAATGGACGTTTCTCTAAATAACCATGTCTTGATATAGAAGGCAGCCCTTTAGTTTAAGAGAAATGCATTTAAAATTAGTGGATACTATGTGATTTTTTAAAAAGTCTTACACATGCATATTCAGTTGTTTTATAGTGAGGTGAGTTTTATTAAATTGTATTAAATATTTTCATTGATGATCAAAGAAAATTGTATCTGTACAGACAAGAAGAGTCCAGGTGGACCCTGATAACAGCTTCCAAAGGATCCAGGGAATGAAAGAGGGCATACCTTTTATTTAGTAGAAATCTTAAAACCAAAAATAACTTGCATGGCTTTAACTTCAGTAGTTTAAAAAAAAAAAGAGTTGGGGGGGTGGTTGTGTGATTAGGCAGATATTTTTAACATCTGGACATAATTTTTAACTAAAAAAAACAGCAATCGATAGTGTTGTAAAAGCCATTTATACTCTGAGCTTGAAACAACTTCTTTATGCCACAAAATTCCTGTTGCTACCTCCATTAGTGACAGCATAATTCAATATGTCTTGAATGTCAACATATTTTTTATTACTCAACCAATGTTGGCTTTGCTGGATTAAATGTCATTTAAAGTGATCAATTGGAAGCTTGCTCCGTTTTAGTTTTTTGGGTTTTCTTTCCCCCATGTCTATGAAAGAAAAAAGTGTGTAATATACAAATGTCCATGAAACTTATAGGTAAAGTTCATTTTCTGGTAAGCTTTGTCCTTTATTTGTCACCCAAAGAGCAGATAACATGATAACAAGACCCACGTTCGATGCCTCTGAAAATCCAACATGATACCCCAGTGTTGGGTCGCCCTGGCTTGGAGAAATCGTCTGCTTGACATTTTACTATTTTATGAGAACTAGTAAGCACTATAATGTAAAAGAGAGAATAGAAACAAAGCAGTGGAAACCCTGTGCAGATGGTAATGGATGTTAGAACCATCAGCAATGGGTTTCAGCTCACAGTAGGCCTCTAGGGTGCAAAGCCTTCTGCCCAGAGCCCAGAGCATCTCACTCACCTTTCTTATGGGTAAAATTTCTTTACACATACACACACACACACACACACACACACACACAACTGGGTAATTTCTTTATGTAAAATTGTGTTAAAATGAATGCACTGGAGAATTCATTCTCATTCCAGAGGCATCCAGGTATCCTCAACTCTTTGTAGTAAAGGTGATCCTAACTGTATGAGGAGACCTGGGAGGGGTTAGATGCAAACCACCTTTGTCCTTCCTGACTTACTGACATTTTTATGATAATATTTGATTTTGTCAGATGTTTTCCAGTTGGAAGAAACTATGGAAAATGAAAATGTGCCTGCCATTTGATGGTGGGACAAAGAGTGGATAATTGAACCACAGCTCAGTTCTTGTCTTAGTCCATTGAGGGTACTGTAACAAAACACCAGAAACTGGGTGGCTCATAGATAACAAAAATACATTGCTCACACTTCTGGAGACTGGTAAGTCCAAGATCAAGGTGCAGGTAGATTAGAGGTCTGGTGAGGGCCCACCTTTTAGTTCACAGAGAGCACCTTCTTGCTGTGTCCTCTCATGATGAGGGGGCATGGGACCTCTCTCAGACCCCTTCTATAAGGGCACTAACCCGTCTCATGAGGATGGAGCCCCATGGCTTAACCCCCTCCCAAAGACCCACCTCTTGATACTATTACCTTGGGGGATAGGATTCAGCATGTGAATGGCAAGGTGCATTTGACATTCAGACCATAGTAGTTCCCTGTTCCCTTTGTAATGAAAGTGAGGCAGGACAGGGAGGTAGCTGAGGGGTAAAGACACAGTCTACTTCTCTGCTTTGCTTAGAAACTGGAGTCATCCTCTCCAAGTGTTTTAAAAACGAGCTAGATTATTCTGTCTGCAATAGTGTGGTACCGACTTCTCAGGGTACTTACACTGACACTAGGGTTGGTGGCCCGCTTGCTTCCCCCACCTCAGCCCACACTGGGGCAATAACAAATGAACCCTCAAGAAGGGGTGTGAACAGAAGAAGGGGCCCAGCAGCTTCTGATGTTAGAATGGGGTTCAAATTCCAGGACTGTGGAATCATTGTTTCAAGAAGGATGCCACTTGTCTTTTTCCAAAGCACAACAAATCACACATCACATTAATTTTTAGGCAGAGACAATACAAAAGAAATGATACACTAAGGGATACTAAAAAGATTTAGGGTCAATTTAAGCTTCATGGTAGTTCCTTAAAGGATCAAGCTTCCTGGAAAACCCCATATTTTTTTGCCAGTTCCTTCTGCCCTTCAGAGAGAAAGCTGGATTTCACAAAGGATGCACTACATGGTTAAACTTTGCCCTAGAAAGTCCTTAGGTTTTTACAGATATGTACCCATTGTACAGCGTCTCTGAGAATAGAAGTCGAATCCGAAACTGTGGCATGGCACAGGCTTTACAGACAATCAGAGCCTAGCATCATGATGTACCCTGAGTGAGTAAATTACCAAGCCCTCTTGGCCCCAGCTTCCTGGCCTATTAAATAGGAATAGCAACAGCACCTGCCTCATGGTAGTGTAAGGGCCAAGTGGAACCACGCTCGCAGAAGATACAGTACAGTGCCTGCAAACAGCACCCAATAAATATTGCTGTTATTTTTATTACTTTCCTTTCACCCACATTATCACTAATACAATAATCCTGTAAAGTAAGTGTTGCGATTCTCATTTCATAAATGAGGAAATAGAATCTCAGGGAGATTAGTGGTTGCCTGACTAAATTCCCCTTGTAAATATACTCTCTCCAAAGAAGAGTGACTTCCTGTCTCTGGCATGTGAACGTGCCGACTATAAGATATTCCAAGTCTCAACTGCACATGCCCTTCCCAGGTGCGCCAGGCCAGGCCCTTCCCAGTGTACCAGATAGCACATTATAGTGCAGGAGCCAGGAATTCAAATCCCAGTGACCTCAGGCAAGCTCTTGTGACCTCTTTGAAGATTAGAAATAATACCTATACATGCCAAACACATATTTGTCATTCAGTGATCTTCCATTACCAGCTATTCTGGCTAGGGCCAAAATCATACAATGACCACCTGGAAATGGCACCTCTAATTCTCATCTGGAGGCCAGTCCTGCGTCATCTAAACCTAGAAGGTACATATCTATGTCCACCTACCTATCAAGGCTCTGCTAGAGAACAAACCACATACCTGTACAGCACAAACCCAAAAAGAAACAGAATAGGGGAGGGGTGTACATCCCATGTCTTCTCTTTTAATTTGCCAATCCACAGCCAAAAGCTTTGGCTTAGCACAGAACCAGGGCTGTTCTAAGTCACTTAATAAATATTTGTTGCCTGACTATATAATAAAACATCGGTTCTGCCAGTAGAGAAAGGATTTTTTGCACCAGGTTCCTCTCTACCATGATTCTAGTAGAGTAAAGCAATTTTAAAGGTCTCCAAAGCATGATATCATGAGAGTTATCTATTTCTTTTTAAAAACCCTGCTAGCCACAGTTACCACTGTCAGCATCACCAAGCTACATAGGTTTTCACTACATAGGTTTGCATTGCTTTTGGGCCGTGTTTTGGCCCAGCCCAGTCTTCTCATGTTTATCCATTCAGTGTCTCCACCAACATCAAAAGAATCTTTTAACCCCACCATTTTTTAACACACCACTTTCTCTGGAACTTTAAAACATTCTTTCCACCTTTCACCCTGCTAGCCCGTTTGTAGGCGTCCACCAAAGCCAACTCATTCCCAGGTAGAGCTTGTTCTATCTTTCAATGAACTGTGTTCAAGTTCAAGTTCTGGCCATGACCAAGGATAAGTCTTTCCCTCATTCTGGGTCATGATGTCCTCATCTGTGAAAGGGGGTGGTGGGCCCAGAGGATCTCGAAGCCTCCACAGGTCAAAGATCATACTTCTCCAGCATAGTCTCCCTCACTCTCTCTGGACCTTAGATTCTTCACTGTAGTTCACACCTGGCAAAAGTGATTACTGAATTCTTTTCTGATTCTTGTTGTTCATGCCTCAACAGGAAACATTTTCAATGCTATTTTCCCTTCATTTTCCTCTGTAGACTGCAGACTGCTTTGGGATTACGTCTATCAGTTGCTTTCTGACAGCCGGTACGAAAACTTCATCCGATGGGAGGACAAAGAATCCAAAATATTCCGGATAGTGGATCCCAATGGACTGGCTCGACTGTGGGGAAACCATAAGGTAAAAGGGCAGCAGATCCTTGCTCTATGAACTAGTGCCCCCCCCCCCAAAAAAAAAAGTGCATCTCTGGATTGGAGGGTCATTGTCTGTTCTACTTCCTAAGTCTGCCCATTATCATTTAGTTTATTCCTCATTGGAAGACCGTCACAAAGGAAGGAAATAATTAAAGATGCCTCTTTCCATGTTACTTATGCCAAATGCCCACTAACTCAGTAAATCTCAGTTTGATAGACTGCATTGTAAGTATCCCTCAGTGCCACTGCCCTCCACCTGGCCCTGCCACCCCTGCTGTCATAGGAACTGGGTGACAGGGAAGTGTTATGAGCTCTATGACTCATGGGGGACCTTTGGGAAGTGTCACTTCTGTCCTGCTCAGTTGGAAACTCCCATGTTCACAGAAGTTCATTTCTACATGGAAAAATATGTCTCTGGACTGTAAAACCTTGTTTTTACAAGAAAACAGTGCAGCCCCACAGTTTTCCAAACTAGGAGGAAATGGAATTTACAAAGGAAGTCTTTTATAGAAAGGGAGACTGTTCCAATGTGCAGATATAATAAGTGGAGAATCATGATCCAGGTCAGACAATACATAGGTAGATCTGAGGTCAAGCTGGAGGTACCCTGGTGGCACCGGGTGGCACAGCCTCAGCTCAGGGACTGAAAGGGCAGGGATGCACAGCTGAGCCCTGCCAGGCCTGCAGCCTCCTAAGAAGGCAGTCCATGCTCTGACTGGGTTGAGAAGGACCTGATGCAGGCCATGACCAAATATGGCCAGGCCTCACTGACAGACACTTCAGTGTGTGAGTCACTGAGAAATACTTTCTGCAACTCCCAGATTGTACCGTGGCTCAAGGGCTCACAACCACTGTATTCTTGCTGCCACAATAGGAATTTAAACAACAACAACAAAAATCTCTTCCTTAAAATGACAGACCAGAAACACATTTAAGAAAGGTCGTGGCAACAAAAAAAGAAATTCTGTATGGGTCAGGAGGTGAAGGAGGACCCAGATTGTGGGAATCTTCAGGAAATCGCTGGGGCATAGCAGAGAGCAGTCTTGGAGGAAGGACCTGAGGGAGGTGGCTGGGGTTTTATTGGCCAGAGCTTCAGGCCTTGTGACAAAGGGTGGTTCACCCTAAAGGAAAACCTTGGCCTCAGTGTATGTGAAAGCCAAAGGGAAGGAAGAGGAACGAAGGGGTCTGGAAGGTGGCACGTTAGCAGGTAGTGTTCCCAAGCTGGCAGGGCCACGTGGACCAGCTGAGGAGCTTTTATTTTAATAGCTCCCCCAGTTCCTTTTCTGAGGTTCATTTCATTGTGTCTTTGTGCTTTTTTTCTCTCTTCCTCCTTTGAACAAACAGAACAGAACAAACATGACCTATGAGAAAATGTCCAGAGCCCTGCGCCACTACTACAAACTAAACATTATCAGGAAGGAGCCAGGACAAAGGCTTTTGTTCAGGTAGCACTTCCGTTTTCTTCCTTTCCTTCTTTTAGGAGGATATTGTCTTCTTTAAATAAGGGGGAGGAGGGAGATTGTTAAGATCTCTACCTGCCTATCTGATCCCCAAAGCCATTATTGCAAATATTACAAATTGGATACCAGGTGATGGTTTGTTGAGATTGAAGGGGGGAAAAAACTTTTTATATTGATGTCTGGCCTCTAGTAAAGCCAAAACTAAATATAAACACAGTCGGACTCACCTTTAAAATAATGCAGTGGCCAAATAGTATTGTCTGGCTTTAAAGTCCAGTATAGGTAAAGGGAACAATCAGAGTAGCCATTGTCAATGTCAAAGTAAGGAATTAAACCTGAACTTCCAGGTTCTCAGCCTCATAAACCAGGGTTTGTCAAACTGCAGGTCATGACCCAGAGTGAGTCATGAAATAGGCTTAATGGGTCAGTCTCTGTTTTTTTTTTTTTTTTTTTTTTTTTAATGCAATAGAAAACAGGATAAGATAGAGATGAAAATAACAGACTGCATCACATGAAGAGTGACTGTTGATTCACAAAGATTTGGTTTCAGCCGTGTATGTGTGTGTGTTTGTGTGTGTGTGTGTGTGTGTGTGTGTGTGTGTGTGATGAATCATGATGTAAAATATATTTCTTCTAATGCTTCACAGTCAAAAAAGTGTGAAAGCCCCTGCACTAGATATTCTTCTTTTCAGAATTCCCACAGCTAATGAGTTCCAGCCATTTATCCTACCATATATATTATGATTTCAAGAATTAGAAAAGAAAAAGAAGGTATATAAAGGACCACTCAGGAAAGATAGAAGTAGTCCCCCGACATGGTTAGTAATTGATGCAGTGGCATCAAAGATGTGGGAGAATATGCGAGCAACAAATATGACCTTAGGTTAAGAGTTTGGGCAAGTGGACAAAGAAAAGAGCCACAGTTGGGACTAGAGATATGGATTTGGAGTTGTCTGTATACAGGTAGAAAATAACACTATGGATGAACACATGAGCTCTCTGGGATGGTGGTAATTATTGGAAAGAGCAATTAGGCTTTAGCTTTGAGAAGGAGTGGAAATTAAGGAATAGTAAAAATAATTGCAGTCTTCCACAAAAACAGAAAAGGCTATTCAAGAAATGAATAATGGAAGAATGGAATAAATACAAAAGAACCCTCCTAACTCTGGCTCTGTTGATGTCTTCTCTCCATCTTTCATCCTAAACTTAATCCTTGGGTCCCTGTTCTTCCTACTCTACACTTTTTTTCCTGAATGAATTGATCCCATTATACGACTTCATTTGTCACCTCCATTTTGTCACCAAATTTAGATCAAGCTCTAAAAATTTCCCTGAAATTCCAAATGTGCATGTTCAAGAGCTTCTTTTAACACTTTAAGGACTCCCACTTAAATATCACATTAGATTTTCAGACATATTAAGAAAGAACTAGAAATTCCTCCCAGAATTCTTGCTATTCATCATCCGCATCACCATTCTTAATTGGTCTTGAAACTAGAACTATTTTTAATTCCTGTGTCTAAGTGAGGCATGGTACTGAATTGTCCATTCTGTGTTACCGAGGCTTAGAAGCCTGGGAACCACATTTCCCAGGATTTGATGCCACATGGTGCCAGGTTGGAGTCTACTACCAATGACAGGCTCTTGCATGAGATTGGGAAGGTAGAGGAAAGGCAAAAGCATTGTTCCTGCTTCCCTGGCAAAGAAAGCTGATGTCTGTGCTTTGAACGTTCCCACCAGGATTAATTCAGCAATCTCCTTCTATGTCTGGTCCACCATTCCCCTGCCTCCTGAATTCATAATACACACTTCTGGTGTTCCTGTGACACTGATATGATTCCTTTTGCTTCAAGTACATATCCTTTACCTTTAAAGTACACATGCCCTCAAGGCCCGCCTCAGTTCTCCTACCTTTACAAAGCCTTCTTCAGCTCTCCCAAATGCTCTTCCTCCATCATTTCTTGAGTTCCCTTGGCCCTTAAACACACCTTGATTCCTATTTTTAATAGGTGTATGTATGAAATCCTTCTCCCCACAACTGGATCATAAGCTCCCAGAAGGTAGAGGATTGTACTTTATTTTTTATTTATTTATTTTTTAATATTTATTTATTTATTTATTTTCAGCGGACACAATATCTTTGTTTGTATGTGGTGCTGAGGATCGAACCCGGGCCGCACGCATGCCAGGCGAGCGTGCTACCGCTTGAGCCACATCCCCAGCCCCAGGATTGTACTTTATATAACTCTGTTTTATACCTTAGGGAGGGTTTCAATAAATATTTCATGACAAACTTGGTATAAAAGACCAGAAGATTACTATGACAAAGTAGTCCAAAGGAGAAGGCGGTAGTTTCGAGAACCAAGTACAGTCTATCTGTGGAGTTGGCCTAGAGGGATCGTTAGTGACTTCGGGATGTTGAGGGAGAAGTTTTAGCTAAGGGATAAAAGCAGAAGACTGATGCTACACATCACACTGCTTCAGAAGTTTAGCAATAGTGGGCAGAGAAGAAAATCAGTAGTAATTGGAAGGTTCATAGGCTTCCAGTAAAAGATTTTCAGCAAGAAAAAAGAATAGTGCTTTTAGTGAGGGAGCCATTGGTTATTTTTGAGGAAATGAGTGTTGAAAGCCAAACTTGCTATAAAATGATGGCTTCTTTATAAGATTTTTAGATATTAAAGGGATTTGGGGTGTGGCTCAGTAGAGCACTTTCTTAGCATGTTCAAGGCCTTGGGTTTAATCCCAAAAGAACCAAAAAAAATTTTAAAAAAAAAATTAAAAATGAATCAAAGAAAAAGAAGTTTAGGTTTTGAGTGAAGGTAGATTTCAGTATGGACTGACACATTAAGCAGCTCTTTGATGATAAAGCAAAACACAAAGAATGAGTAGCGAAAGGAGTGAATAGGGTTCCAGATAAGGACAAAGCTAAAGATTTATGGGAAGACCTGAACGATGGTCTATATAAGAAAAAGACTGGCAGACTGGAATGGAGGGTTCATGGAAGTGAGCAGTGGACGATAAGAATTTCCTGGGTAGGAATGATAGAAGACCCAGATAGGCAGGCCAAAGAGTACATCTTTGACTTGATACATCTTAGGCTTTTTGAACAAAGATGATGAGAGAAAATGTGTGTTTTAAGGTAGTTTGTCTGCTGCAGGCAGTGTATGGAAAGGGAACAGCATGCAGACATGCTGGGGCTATAGAAGGAGCACTCCCACTGAAAGGACATTTATAACCAGGCCACCTTCCTGAACCATGTCAATCATAGTTGACACAGGTCACTGATGGTATTTCCAAGTGAGCCATTTTTTAATTTAATATTCAATTGTATACTTCATGTTAAATTCAAGTTTTGGATACCATTCCCTGGCCCCATGGTCTGGAATAAAATGGATATATGACTCTTGTGGGTCTTTGTAAAACCTAATTCTCTAAAAAATCAGAAACACAGATACATGAGCTGTACCTAAGTTTCCCCGTGGTCCTGCAGTAACATGCCCCATAGATCTGAAGGGTGCTGTCTACCCCACCATAGTCACACTAGACGTTATAGTCATTTTGCCACTTTTTAGGCAATCAGAGGAAGGGGTACCTTTTGCTAATTTGCACCATGTTGGCATTAGCGTTTGGGATCAGCACCTCTCCAGCTACTGTAAGATGACAGGGCCTCGCTTTATGGGTTGGAATTCAGAAGTGTAAAGATAGCTTTGAAGAAATGTGCTCTCTTGACTCCTCCATTTTCTCTCCCAAAGGTTTATGAAAACCCCAGATGAAATCATGAGTGGCCGAACAGATCGACTGGAGCACCTTGAGTCCCAGGAGCTGGATGAACAAATATACCAGGAGGACGAGTGCTGAAGGCAGCCACACGCCACCTGGGCGGGCTGAGGGCGAGGGAGCCCCTGCCCACCAGGATCACTGGAGGCTTGATAAAGCTGGTGGGCTGAGGCCGGCTGGAAAGGAAGAGACCCAGCGATGGCAGGAACACTTCTCTTGCAGACCAAGAGGGACCCCAGAGCACCTTAGACAAACCACCCGGCAAAGGCGGGGCTGGAATTCTGGCGGAGGGCACGAGCCTGGGACTCGCGAGTCACGTTTCCTTCTTTGGAATCTGTCCACCTGTAATTCCTCACCCTCACCCTTCCACCTGTTGTTAGTCTTATGGTGTTTTTGTTTTTTGTTTTTTTTTTAAGAACCTGCAGTTTGACTTTTCATCGTTCATATAAGGGAAGACATCGGAGGTTGTTTTCCTATGGAAATATATATCTATTATATATATATTTTTTGCAAATCTCACAAAGTACAGCCAGCCCAGCTGGTCAGGAAAGAATACTTGCAGAAGGGATCAGGTTCCTCTTTTTCCTGCCATGTGGATCAGGTTTGTTTCTGTTGCAGTTGGGTCTTGGCTGAAAAAAGAAAAAAAAAAAAAAAAAAAGATGCTTTTAAAAAATGATCACACGAGAAGGAGAGCTCTCTTTTTCATTCTTGCTCACCTTCCTTTTCTGGCTCCCCTGTGTCCCGCCCCCCCAACCCCTCCGCCTGCTGTTGCACTTCACATGCCTTTCAGCCGAGTTCAGTCTCCTGCAGAATCTTGGGGATTCTTGGCACCTAAATAGAATCAGTGACCTGGGTGCTTTGTGTCCAGCAGCCAAAATTAGACCCCTATGCCAGCATCTGGCCACCCATCTGAGGGAGGCCAGAACCCTCACAGATGCTGCTGTACTCCAGAAAGATAAGTGCTATTCCAGCAGGCCGTCCCTGAGATGACGGTGAGAACCAACCAGCTACAGCGTCAGATAAGGCAAGTTGTTTGGAAGGCCCCCCGGCTGCTTGGGATTAGCTTTGCAAGTGCTGCAAATACAAAAAGACCACACAGGCCTGGCAGTCCAGAGACTGGGCAAAAATATTTCTACAGTGGAGATTTGTTTTTGTGAAACAGGTTATTGAAAAAGAAAAGCTCCTCTCTGCTCCATTCCAGAGGCCATCTTGTGGTCAGTTTCCCACAGCACCTGATCTCCCCACCGCCCACCCCCACTTCCTAGCCTTTTTAAAGTTTCCTGGTCCCCACTGAACACAGAACATTTGTGAGGGGAGTACTCCAGAATGGAGTCCCAGATGCAGCCAGGGTCTGCCCGGCCTGGGCAGAAAGCAAGTTCCTCAGATCCATTACTTTCTCCTTCCTTCACCGTTGTATTTCAGAACGGATCCATTCCTGGCTCTTTTTCACCTCTCAAAATAAGGTTGGTAGTGTCTTACAAAAGGAGGGTCGTGCCATCTTAGTACTTCTGTTGATAACAGATTTTTCAGAAAACTGTTTTTAGATTTTTTTCTTCCTTTTCTAGCCATCCACATTAACTCTTCCATTATAGATTCGAATATCCAATTTGGGGAATACCGTCTTTTTTAATTCAGAAAATTAGACCTGCCTTGAAAAGCACCCCCTCCCCATTCCTCCCTGTTTCCTTGGCTCCTCCATTGGGTTAGCGTCTCTCAGCTCTCTGAGGTACTTATATGCTCCACCAGCAGCAGTTCCCTGTGAAGCTGGCAGGCCCCAGGCTTGTCCTCCTGCCATTTCTGAGTTGAGTTGGGGGCACACAAGCAAGAGGAATTCCCCCTGGGCCTTACTGAAAAGGATACCAGCCTGGGGTGGGGGGCAATAGATGAACTATGGTTCACAGACACTGGAATTGAGGAGCCGATCTGGGCTCATTAGTCTCGCTCTGTCCCTGCCTCTTACCAGACCACAGGTGGCGGCCAGCCTCCTCTTACTGTCACTTCCTTCCCCCATTCTGCTTTCTGTGTGAGCCTAGAGGGCCTCATTGTGAAGGGTTCAGTCTCAATCTGCTTGAAGGGGGGTGTGATTCTGCTGGATTCCAGCAGCTGTGAATGTCTTTCAAGAGTGTTCAGGTGATATATTTTCAGCCTCTAAGATGACTGGTACTATATCTCAAATGGAGAGATTAAGCCGAATACCTGGTGTGATCTGAAAGTCACCAAGTTTAAGAACTGGAGAGAAAGGATGGACTTTTTACCGAGGTTCTTATATGAATATGAAAACAGACCAGGGCATGATGTTCCTTTTCCCTGAGATGAGAACATCTCATTCTGGCCACTTTACCCAAGTTTCTGAACTCAGTCTCTTACCATTCCAAGTCTTACAGATGAAAAATGGAGGGAAATGCCTTTTTGCCCCCTAGGATTTCTGTATTCAAAGCAATATCTTATAAATATGTAAGACTTAGGATGACTTCTCCAGCCACTTGAAGTAGAGATGCTAATTCCAATATAATCTTAATTTCCCATTCCAACATTGCCAATAATGATTTTTCTCTTGATTCCCTTCACTGCAAAAGTCCTTGTTCTTTGAGAGAAGAGCTGGACAGTCCGATACCAGAGTTACAGTATTGACGTACTGCAGATCCTGAAGATTTCACATTCAATTTATCAAACCTCAGGGAATCGCCTAACAGACATTGTGAGGGATTCAAAGATGAACCAGGCACAATCCCTCCCCTGAGAGTTTAGATTCTACCTACAGGATCGTCCAGCGTGAAATTTCTCAGTTCAACACTAAGGACTAGCAGTGATGAAAATTTCACCCCAGACTAAATTAAAAGTTCATGTATCATCTGAATAGTTGGCCTTTCTCTGTGGCCGTCATGGGAACTCGTAGCCCACAAAATCTGAAGTCAGGAAAGGAAAATGCAGAGGGGCACTGCTGTGTGAAAGGTGGACGCTCTCGCTCGTGTCTTGGAATTCCCTTTCCCCAAATCATGAGTTCACTGAGCTGTCTCCTTCTGTCAGAAGAGAGCAGTGGTAGCTGGCTACATGGGTCCTGTCGAAGGTAATAACATGTCTCTCAGATATGCTTGATCCAAGGCCACTTGGTCTTGCCCTTAGGCAGCATTGCCAATGTTCCAAATCCCATTTGGAGGTCCCCCACAAGAAAAGAGGAACTGAGGGATTTTCTCCTTTCAACCATCTCTTTAAAATCCTCTGATCAAGGGCTGATACCTTATCCAACTAAAAATGTCCCTTTAGCTGAAATTTAAGTGGCTACAACAGAATTGGTCAAAATGACTAAATAACCCCCATGTCCATCCTTCCCTGCCTAGGCTCCAGCCCTGGATATGTTTTTGAACCATTAACTGCCATTTGCAGAAAGGAAGCCTGAGTATCAGAGAGGTAATGTCACCATTGGAGCAGATAATATGGCAGGGACAGAATTAGGATTGGGATCCAGCTTGACCACTCCCCCATTTGACCCATTATCACCCAGGAAACTGAAGATAAGAGATTTGGAAAAACAGACAAAGAACAAAGGGTAGTTTTCTTTCCCTAAGCATTCGGTGCTAGTCAGAAGCTTTCATTCACTCAGTCTGCTCCTTTTCTGAGCATAAACCTAGAATAAAGGAAGTGATACAAGGAAGCCAGAGGGATGGGGGAGGGAGGGACACCCAATAATCCCTGTGTTGTCAGAACCACAAAAGACTAACCTGATACTCTTTTGGCCCCATCTGCATCAACACTAAACAACTGCAAACTCCCTGCGTCTTTCACACATGTCAAGTGAACATTCTCTGTGACTACACCCACCTGCAAACCAGAACGAATCTAGAATGAATTTTTTTTTTTTTTGGTCTAGTTTCTAATCTCTTGTTTATGAGGTGTGGGGTTTATAAGGGACTGAATCAAATGAATGTAACAAAAAAAGAAAAAAATATGCCTTTTCTCAGGGCCAGTGAGTTGCAAATAATTTTTAAAGAAAAGCCTATAATTACATCATCTCAATAAATTTTTTATAAAAAATAATAGTCCTGGGTCTCTGTTTTTGATAATATGAAATGGAGTCAGGCAAGGTGCTCTGATGAGGTAAATCCTGTCTCCGCTCAATTACAGTGTAAAGGGCAGTCACGGGTTTGCACTGGCAGGAAGCCTCTGTTACCTAGCAGTCTGCAGACAATCTCTAGACAAGTGGCACCAAAAAGGTCAGAGAAGATCATTCAAAGCTCAGCAGCTGTCACAGGTGGAAAAATTTCACCCAAAGAAACCCGGATCAGAGGTGCCTGGGCCCTGTGCTGTGTGGAAGATGTTCATTAAGGTGGTACCAGGACTTACAAGAACTTGGTCCTCACATGGTAGCATTCTCCCCTTAGGGTCTGAGCCTACAAGGTACCAAGGGTGTAAATGTAATTACAATGACCTGAAAGTCACTAGTTCAGAGCCAGCCCTATGCTGAAGGTCTCAGCCACAGAGGCCACTGATCAGCCAACCAGTGGGCACTTAGGATTTCAAGATCAAACACGGTATGATCAACTATCCAGAACTATCCATCTGCCATCAGAGGTAGGCAGAAACGAGCAGAGTAGGAAAGGAAGAAAAACTACATTGCTTTTTAGCACCTTAGGTGTAACTTTGGAACAGAAGGGTTTGAAATCAATGGTCTCAGAAAATGTTGTTAGATTATTCCTATAAATGGCCCCAGGTACTCTGTATCCCTTGACAACAGATTGCTGAAATTTGGCCTTCTATTCTGTATCATCAGAACACAGTGCCAAAGAAGAGTCTAGATCCTGTGGTGCCAAAAATGCATTTGAAGATACTATTTCTAATAATTCATCATTAGAATCAATCACCTGGGGATTACTAGAAATGCAAATTGTCAGTTCCCACCCCATAAACTAAATCAAAAACTTTAAAAGTTTATGTATAATTAATTCAAATACATAAATAAATAAGAAAATTTTAAAAACTTTAAAAGTGGGGCAAATCTGATTTTAACAATAACAGATTGTTACCAGTCTGTTTTAACAAGATCTCCAGGTGATTCAGACACACACTGGAGTTTAAGAGCCACTGCTATCAATCTGCTCATATTAGTATGAAAAAAAAAAAAAAAAAAAAAGCATGTGGCATTTTAAACAAGTACTCAGAATAATGGATGACAACCAATTTGCATTAATCCCACCCACAGACAATAATGCTACATTTTCCTAAAAGTAGATACTCTGTAGAATGAAGGTAAGCAGACAGGGAATCACACTTCATCTTGTTTCCTCCAAACCTTTTAAGCAGTTTGCTATAAAGATGAGCTGTTTTAAAGTGTAACTCAAACAGCTGACCTGCCCTTGCAAATTACAGCGCAGCAATTTATCCTCTTATGCCCACTTATCTGCCTAACCAGCCTGATCTAAAAAAAAAAAACTAAAAGGACCATTCTCATCTGCTGAATGACCTTGACTATCTGTCCCAGGAATTATTAAGCAGAGCTTGGATGAACATTTAGCCAGCGTATTTGCAAAGGACTCCAAAACCACTAGAGGAGATCAGCATTTTGCAAGCCTAAAAGTGCTTGCAAATCACCTGGGGATCTAGGTGCAAGGTAGATTTTGCTTCTCCTCTTGAGAAAGTATGGCCAGAAGATCTGTTCTTCTACCCTACTCTCTGGGTGGGGCTCGAGAGTCTACATTCCCAATAAGTTCAGGTGGTGTGAATGCAAGTGGCAAGAGAGCAAATAACCTCCCGTCAAGCCCTGAGATTCTGACACCAAGGCAAAACGTAAGCCTTTCTCTTTGCTGTAGTTTCTTAAAAATTCCTTCTTAGAATAGTCCTTAGGGTCAATCTTGCTGTCCGACAAGTTTGCTTATTCTTATTTAGGATAGAAACGAGTAAATGCCATAGTTAAAATCTTTGCCAAATAAGGAGCAGCCGTTCACATTCACAACTGAACCTTAATACTGGAGGCTCATCACCAGATGCCTCACGGTCACCAACTTTAAATAAGAATGAGAATCCAGATGTGCCACCCGTGATGTTTCAAAAGGCATGGGGAGGGGATGAGCAGGTCTCCCACACAAACTGTAGAAGATGATAACATTAAAAGAAGATGATCTTGTGTCAATGCCCACACTGTCAAAAGTTACAGATTCTCTCTCTCTTCCTCTCTCTGTCTCTCACTGTGTGTGTGTGTGTGTGTGTGTGTGTCTCATTAAAATGAAGGCGCTCAGCCCACTAGATTGAAGACAGCAATCACTCCTAGTAAAAACCACTAGGTAATTCTGCCTAATGTCTTCTGAGGCCACAGAACACTATTTTAACCTGTCTGATCTCTGAGGACTCAACCAGAACTTTATCAGACCATCCACCCAAGCTGACCTTTGCTTTTCCTCTGAGCCCTCAATTTTGCTCCAACTACAAACATTTCTGTAAAAGCAACCAAATGCTTCCTCGCTTGTGCCTCTAACCCTGCCAGAGCTCCTCAGACAGGGGGAGCACTCAATACACTTGTTCAACCATCAGCCCCCTCCTCCCATGGCACCTGGCACAGGTTACATCTTATTAAGTGCTTTGAATAAGGGAATGAAGTTACAGACACTGTGACCCTGAGTCAGACAAAGATTTCGTGGATATGACACCAAAGAGGTAATCCATGAAAGGAAAAAAAAAAAGATAATAAACTGGACTTCATCAAAATAAGGGACACTTTTAAGAAAATGAGAATACAAGCATAGACAGGGAGAAAATAGTTGTCTAAGTCATGTGTTAAAGAACTTTTGTGGAGGATTTATAAAGAACTACAATTCAATAGTAAAATGGACAATCCAATTAAAAACGATCAAAAGATTTGAATAGATATTTCACAAAAGAAGGTATTGGAAAGGCTACTAGTACACAAAAAAAGATGCTCAACATCACTAGTTATAAAAACCACAATGAGATGACACCACACACAAAAAATGACTATAATAAAAGACCGTCAGTACCAAGTGTTGGCTAGGATGTGGAGACCCTGAAACCCTCCTCTACTGCTAGTAGCAAGATAAAATGGCAGTCATTTCAGAAAACTTTCATTTAAGAAGTTTGGCAGCTTCCTAAAAAGTCAAACATAAATTTACCACATGATCCAGAAATTCCACTCCTAAGTATCTTTCTAAGAGACATGAAAACATATGTCCACACAAAGACTCATACACAAATGTTTATAAACACAACAACTGGAAACAGTCCAGATGTCCACTGTTAAGTGCATAAATAAAATAGAGTATATCCATGAAATGGAATACTATTTAGCAACAAAAATGGAACAAACTCTTTGTACATGCATTAATATGAAGAAGCCTCAAATACACTATGCTAGGTTAAGAGAAATCAGATGCAAAAAACACCACATGTTGCATAATCCAATTTATATAAAATTTCCAAAGAAGGCAAAGAGCAGGGACAAAAAGCAGAAGAGCATTTGCATGGGGATAGAGGTTGGAGTGGGGATTGAACAGAAACTAGCAGGTGGGAACTTTTGGAGATTATGGTTTATGACAGTTGCAGGAATCTAGAAATCCACTGACATTCATTGAAGTATAGTTTTATAAAGACTATGCTTTATGGTTATAATTTCACTTCAAAAAAGCTGTGAAAATGCGAAAAAGAAAAATGAATCTAATCAATTCATGCTGGTTCTATAGTAGATGGATATTTTAGCTTTTTTGTTGCTCTGAGCAAAAGACCTGACAAGAAAAATGTAAAGGAGAAAAGTTTATTTTGGTTCATGTTTTCAGAGATTCAGTCCACAGTCGACCGACTCCCTAACAGAAGATCATGGCAGAAAGGTGTGGCAGAGGAAAGAGGTTCAGGACATGACAACCAAGAAGCCGACCTGCTCACCATGGATAAAATATATACCCCAAAGGCATGTCCCCAGTGACCTCCCTCCCCGAGCCACATTGTACCTACCTACAGGTATCATCTAGTTAATACTTTTCAGTGGATTAATCCACTATTAAGTCACAGCTCTCATAATCTAGTCATCTCATCTCTGAATGTCCTTGTAGTGTCTCACATATGAGCTGTTGGGGCACATTACATATGCAAACCATAACAATGGGGCTGCCTTCAACAGTGAGACATAGGACTCAAAGAAACACTGGGAAAAAATACATTAATAATGTAAAAATGCAACATTGAGAGAACATCATTACGGAAGGGAATCATTGTCCACATCCTGTTCATCCAGCAAAATCCCCAGATCTGTGAGTTTCAACAGTCTGCAATTCTCTCAGAAACCTTTCAAACTATTGATACCCCAAAAGGAACCCCAGCAGCACACAGTCCTCAATTCACTCTTGGCCATCATGAAGTGACTCCAGCAGCATATAGACAGTGGTGCTAACTTGAACAGGTGGCTTTGGACATTGAAGGTCATTTGGTACTGAAATTTCAGATTATGGATTCGTGGCACTAGATGGCAACATCAAGGTCTTGGACTCAGTTGGCTGTTAGCTATATTGTGTGTGGACAGGGGACTTCCCACAGGGACTGGGGAAGAAGAATGTCTCAGAAATGAAGCCGGAAAGCTAAGGACCTGTCTGGAATCAAATGGTTGAACTCCATAAGGAGAATGAGTTGGCACACCTTTGAACCATTAATATTCAACTGTTTAACATTTATTTACTTGGGATGGAGAGAAAATAATTTTCTAATAAAAAGATGCAACTCTTCTTTGCCCATAAAAGGTTCATCACATGCACTGAACATACCTCCACATTTTTACTTTATGTAAAAACTATCTTGAAAGATAACTATCTTTCCATTCAAAATGGGGTAGTGTCAGTCACTCACGCATAAAAGAGATATACTACATGTCTATTGTAGTGAAAACCATCTTCAAAATGTATTTTTAAATTATTTCTTCTGTCATGTTGGCAAAAC